TAGATTCTCCTTATTCTCTCTATATTTCTCCATCAAACCTCTCAACCAATATATGACTTCCATAGTAGACCTACCCGGCATGAATCCAAATTGATTTTGAGAAACATTGATATCACGATGCAACCTACACTCCATAACTCGCTCCCATTGTTTTAAAGTACGACACATTAACTTAATTCCTCTATAATTCACACATTCCTGTGCATCACCTTTTTTCTTAAAAATATGAATTAACACACTCATTCTCCTAAGCATTTTCACACCTCTATTGACATATCATCAGGTCCAACAGTTTTTTCACACTACATTTTTTTAAAGTCTCTCTAACTTCTATTTTACTAATACGCCGATAAAAACAAAAATCTTTATTTTCATTTAGGGTGCTAAACTCACTAAAGTCAATTGTGTTTTTCCATTCATCATTAAAAAATTTAGCAAAATATCTCATCCACCTTTGTTGAATATCATCTTCTAAGAAAAGTACTTCTAATCTTCATCCTTAATATACTTCACTAGAACTAAATCCTTACTACTTATATCTCTTTGTTCGTCAAATTATATATATATATATATCTCCCTCCTTAATATATAATATATTGTATAAATCATTAAAAGCTAAGCTCTTTACATCCCAAATAGTTTTCTTAGATTCCTTACAAGCCTCTTTATAGTTTTCCCAATTATAAGAATTTTTACATCTAAACTAATTTTTATAATAAATTTTATTATTTTTATTTTTTCATGCACATTTGAATTTCACCACTAACTATTTTTACTATTATGAGCTTTTCTCTTCGAAACTCCAAGCATATCTTTTACAATATTCTTAATATCACTAGCTACTTTTTTCGCATAACATTAGCATCCCCATGCACAGAAAAAATCTTAAGATCTAAAATCTTACTCTCAAAAATACTTTTCTTACTCTCAAAAATACTTTTATTAATATTTTTTAAATGCCTCCATCTAATCTTAAAATATTATTTTATTTTATTTTTTATTTTCTGCCCCTTTATCTTAAGGTCCAAAACTAATAATCGATATTGGGTACATAATGTTTTACTCGTAATAACTTTATAATCTTTGCAAACCAAATGATCTAATTTTTTTCTAAGAAAATAATCAATGTGTTTTATTATATCCATTTTTATATGTGATAAGATGCTCATCTCTTTTCTTAAATAAGATAATAGCTATTAAGAAATCATAAGTTAAAGAAAAATTTAATATAGTCTTACCACCTTCATTTGTCGTTCCAACCAATGACCACCATGATGCTTTTAAAATCATCTACCTCTCTACCAACATATCCATTTAAATCTTCTCCAATAAGAACTCTTTCTTCAAGAGTTATTTTTATATTAATTCTTCTAAGTCATTCCAAAATTTTAATTTTGAATCCATATCGAAACCTACTTGAGGAGCTTAAGCACTTATAATATTAACAATCTTAGTATCAACAATAATCTTTAAAGTTATAATTCTATTTCTAATTCTGTTAATTTTCATAACATTACATTTCAAACTCTTACCTATAATCACACCTACACCATTTCCAGCATGACTCCTATCCGAAAATCATAATTTATATCATAAACTATCAATCTCCTTAGCCTTCTCTTTAACCCATTTAGTTTCCTGAATCTGCAAAATATTTATCTTCATATTAATCATGATATCTATTAATTATATTAATTTTCCTATAAGAGAGTCTATATTCTAAGTTCTTATCCTAATTTTGGTTTCATGGACTAGCTTTTTTACCCACATCCGTCCTTGATGTAAGAACCCTTGCCTATTTAACACTGTGGCCCTTATACAATTGTCGTCGTATTCAGGTCATACAACGCGTCGCTTCCAGGGGACGCTCTAGCATTAACATAATTTTTTAAAAGATTCATGTCATGATTTTTCGACATGTTTTATGCTGGCTATCGATTACCTAACGCAACCCTCCACTTTTCTCATCCAGAACTTGGGACATGACAATGAAAGTGTTTATCCATCTCAATTTTTCAAAGTATCCAGATAAACCACTCCTATTAACTTTCTTCTATTAAGGGAATGGGGACAATGTCTGAAAGCAATCACTTCATCACTTAGAGCATATATTAGATTCCCATTTCCATCACTAGACAGATTCTAAGCCAACTCCTTCAAGATTACCAGAAGCTTCATAACCCAAAATAAGGACCACATTCTTGGTTTAAAGATAAAATTAGATGAGCCAACATCATGGGCTAAGAAAAAGGAGAAAAAAACATAGAAACTACACGAAACAAACACAACAATGGCGCATGCATTTAAGAAAATATCTCGACCAATGAAGACTAGCGCTTACTAAAAGAAAAGAATCCCACAAAGGTTAGAACTTCATTAGTAAGCATGGGTCAACAAGATCACCAGTCTTTCAATGCCATGGCAATGAACATTATGTTGGAAAACAGCAAGATCTACAATGACAATTGTAGCACATGAATGAGTCGTAAGTGTCACAGCCCGGCAAAGAGACTCGAATTAACGAGGTGGAAACAGACGGTTGGACGATTAATTAAAATTTTAATTACTAACTAACTATTTTCAATAAGCAGTGAGCCACTAAAACCTTAAAAAAATATAAATATCTTTCTCTTGGAGCGTCGCACCTACGATACACATTCTCTTCTCTTCTACTCATTTTAATTAAAGGAAAAATTACATACCTACCACTTTATTTCATGCTATTTATATATCTAAAATCCAAAATATTAATATTACATGCCTACCACTCATATACAACTTTAATATCAAATATATCACTCATATAATTCATATATATCATTCATATCATCCTATAAACTTTTATATTTCATTCCAAGCACCCAAATTTGTTCTATGGGTGGTAGACATGTAATATTAATGTTTTGGGTGCTAGATATATAAATAATAAGAAATAAAGTGGTATGTGTATAAATCCCCCTTTAATTAATTGAATTATACCTATAAATGATTTTCAATAGGAATAGTGAGTCATAATAGAACTCAGAGAATAAATCATACTTCTAAAATTATAGTAATATAAGGCCTTTGAAATAATATGCATGCTCATTTCTAAATATGAAATTCTTCCATTTAATTTCATTTTATCATAATTATCACTATTATGCATAAAACATATCTTTATCTATTCAATAAATAATAAAATCATCACAGGAGGCACCATCTAAATTGTACCAATGAAGGTACTCCCTTTCCATTTCCATTTACTTTTTTCCATAATCTTTTTCATTTATATGCACGAATACATTGCGTCCCCAGCCAATATCATAAGGGGGTGTGCTCCATCAGTCAATATGTACATACAAGCATATTTATCTAGCCATTTCATTTTTATAATATTTATTGGATTTATATGATAATGTGAAATATAACATATTAATTTTCATTTTTCATTTGACTCAACATGATCAATCATTGAGTATAAGAAAGATAAAATATAATCTAGCTAACAATAAATACTACGTAAGCAGATATTATCTTTCAAAGCATCTAATTGAAGAGAAAACAAAGTCAATATTGTAATAAAAGAAATATGAGTACTCACCTTAAACTTAGGTATTGAGATATTTTATTATTTCTCCTTTTTTCCACGTTGATCAAATTTTCACGTATATCAAAAACCTATTTGTTAACATTTAAGTTATAAATTGGTCATCTGTTTTTAATTATATGCTATATTTTAGTTTTAATCATTTTATTGCAATAATTATAATCTAAAATTTAGAAAAATAGTAAAACTTGTCTCTTACTCGTGCTCGAGCCCATGCCTGTTCGTCCATGGCTCCCCCTTGGCAGCTTGCTCGTAGGTTTCGTCTCTCTCGCCTCTTCCTTTTTGTCTTTCTCTCGATTCATTGACTCTCCCTCTCAATCGAAACTTAGAGGGAGGAGAAATCCATTCGTCTACTTTGTTAATAATTGACGGACCGTTTCGTTTTCCTAGCGACTTGAGATGTCACCTTTGAATCGAGAGATGAACCCAAAGAAATCAACGAGCTCATTTTCGTTCGTTTCATCTCCCTTCGACTTTAGCAAACAACGAAAAAAATGCTAGCTCTCTCGATTCCAATCGATGCCTCTGTATCTTGATGCAATTGGCAACAGTTGAGTTTCATTCGGCTTCTACATTTCCATGCGGCTCCAGGTCGTCTTCTCCTCTTCTACAATTTGGCTTCTGCGACGTCTCCTTCGGCCAGGTAAGATCGGGATATTACAATAAGCCACCAAGATCTCCATTGGCTTTCACCACGGTCGATGTTGTGAGGTCATCATCCCCAGCTCGTACAACATTTACTCTATTCATGGTTGACTGTGTTATGCAAACGTCACTCTTTCCTCTTCACATAAACCATCATGACCTCCAGTTATCCTCACCATCAACAAAATGAGTTGAATGGGGAAGTTAATGGGTCAACTCAAAATCATAACCATGCCTTTTCTTCAATGGAGGACTTAAAGCTCCAAAAAAATTGAGATAAGATTGATGACAATGATTATGACAATACAATTCATAAGAAGCTAAATATTTCTTTCAACTTTCCTTGCTAAGGCTTGGGATTTCTATATTTACACAGTATAAGATAAGAAGACATTTAACTATCAACAAGGATATAATTTTAGTCTCAGAAATAAATTATAAATACAGATACTACGGCTCAATTCTATCCTACAGCTTCATTTCAAGATTATTTATTGTATGACCAGCATAAAATATCTATCATTGCACATTACTGTTTTCTAAATTAAAAAAAAAATCGCATGCAATAATCTTCATGGAGATTCAATTGCCTCAATCCATTGAACCTTCTAAATTCATCAAAATAAAAAAATAAAAAAATATCAATTCCGTCAAGATGAAGTTCTTTAAAAACCTAAAATGCTTCTAACCTGCATAAACTTCAAATTATCAAGGCCTTGATTTTTGAACAAAATCTATTGTCCATGCAAAAAATTGAAAGTCATACCCCAAGAAGTTTATCCAAGACAAAGCCTAACTCAATTGCTCCAATCCATTCACGTGATCCTACAAAAGAGGGCTCCTTATCACCAATGTCAACAAGAGCCTGCTGAATTTCCCTGAAAAACATGACAGTAATAACCATAATAGCAAACGTAAGAGAATCATGTAAATAGACTAAGCCGTTTCATGAAGGTTCTATCCAATAATAATAAATACAAATAAAGCATCCTTAAAAACAGTGACAACAAAAGCAATAGTTTAAAATGAACAATCTAAATTTACAAAAGAATGTGAATACAGAGATATAGCTAATCCATTTAAGACAACCGTGTCAAAAAAAAAAAAACATCAACCTGTGGGAAGGAACTTCTATTGATGCGTAACGTTGAAGCCTAAACCAAGATATGATAGTTTGTAGAGAACGGTATGCACATCCCCATCCCTATAAAGGGGAAAAAATTGTTACTACCCAATAACAAGAAAATCAAGCATATTGAACTAGTAAAATGCACAGAGGCATCTGAATGGGGAGGAATTATAGGTAAATCAACCAAATTTAAAGAATTTTAATGATGAATTACACAAATGTAGATATAACAAAAAACTTCATGTTTAACTGGGATAAGAAAAACTAAAAGCGTCAGGCTGCGCAGAAGACATAACATTTACATCTTAAGATGTTAAATAATCATATTTGGGTTGCCAGGGAGTGAAGGAATCACCAAAGGGCTTTAGGGTGTGTTCTGGCATCACGTAGAAAGAAAATCATTGTTTCAGGCCTACTTAGATAGCAAAATTATTACACCTAGGCATAAGATTTTGGTTTAGTATGTAGAAAATAAATTCGTAAAATATCACAACGGAATCTCTATAATAAATTTAATTCTATAATGACTCCACCCAGCATATAGCTAAACCCATGCTGCTGTTTACCAGAAGCAGCACAGATTGCTAGTAGTGCCCATCACGGAACTTCCTTACAATAGAAACAACGTTATTTTCCTTATCGTTGCAATAACAGATACCACATTCATGATATTTTAAGGCAAAAGTGACAAGTAAGGAATTTTCCCATATCCAAGCGAGGCATAAGCCACGAGGTAGATGGAAGCATAGACTTTGAAGCTTGAACTAAAAATAAAACAAATCATAAAAGTAAAGACAATTTATAAATATGCCATAAATCAGCAATAAAAAGTCAAAAAAAAAAAAAAACCTAAAACTTGTTGACGTCCACATAAGTGCAACAATCAATGCAAGCAAGTGCAATGAGAAAAGTGACTGATCAGCACAATATAGTGCGTAGCGGACTAGAAACGCCTCGACATTGTGCGGAACAAGCATCGAAGTGCCCAATCATCGTTGAAATCATTTGAACTTCATTCGTTCGTGTAACGAACTGCATCATC